ATGCATGATGTGCATGTGTCTGCTTAGGCGTGCCACAGCGTGCATATGGAGGTTAGAGGACAGCTTTGTGGGGCTGGTTCTCCTCTTCTCTTTTATGAGGGTTCCAGGGATGGAATTCAGGTCACCAGGCTTGTTCCATCAGTGCTCCTGTCTGCTGAGACATCTTGCTCACCCCTAAAGTACGATGTAATCTTATATATTTTCTTTTTTTTTCAAAAAATACTGTTCTTAATGGCCTTGTAGGGTAGGAGAAAAGCCTCATTACAAAAATCACATTGCTTAGTGATTGTGAACTCACTTTAAAATGCATTGGTTTTTGGATCTGATTGATATCTGTGTTTTGTTTTGTTTTTATGCAGTGCAGAGGATTGAACCCAAGGCCTTTGTATGCCAGGCAAGAACTCTTCCACTGTGCTATAGTCTCCATTCCTGAGATCTTTTCTTTTTATTAGTTATGTAGCCCTGGCTGGCTTGGAGCTCCCTGTGTAAAGCAGACTGGACTTGAACTCACAGAGATCTGCACACCCCTGCTTCCTGAGTGTTGGGATAAAAGGTGTGGCCCACTAGCTTGAGCTACTAGCCCCTGCACAAGACCTTATTATTATGTTTTTATTTATTTATATTTTGTGTGCTTTGGTATTTTGCCTTCACGTGTGTCTGGGTGAAGGTGTCGGGTCCCCTGGAACTGGAATTACAAACAACTGTGAGCTGCCATGTGGGTGTTGGGAATTGAACCTGGGTCCTCTGGAAGAACAGTCAGTGCTTTTAATGTCTGAGTCATCTCTCCAGCCCCAGGACCTTATTTTTAATTTTTTTTTTTTTTAGACATACTTTCTCTGTGTAGCCCTGGCTGTCCTGGAACTCACTGTGTCTATAGCCCAGGCTGGCCTCAAACTCAGAGATCTGCCTGCCTCTGTCTCCCGAGTGCTGGAATTAAAGGCATGGGACTCTACGGCTAGCAACTTTTACTTTGTTTATTTATTTTAAGGTACCAGTGTAGAAGGTTGAGGGATATTGACCAAAGGTTGTAAAATTTCCTTCAGCTAGAAGGACTAAGGTCAAGATCACTATTGTGTAACATGGTAATTGTGGTAATAACAATGTATCTTGTAGTGTTTCCCTTCACAGAAGATGATACCTGGTGGGGCAGTGCATTTGTTAATTCCCTTGATGGAGCATTCCACAAAGTATACATATTCCAAAACACGCTGTATATGACAAGTGTATACTGTATTTTGTGAATTAAAAAAATGTAAGAAAAGCTAGGGCTGGCTCCTGGGTAAAAGTGTTTTCTTTGTAAGTCTGATGACCTGAGTTAGCTCTCTGTTAACCCTTGGTAGAAGGAGAGAATTGACTTCCAAGGACCTCCACATAGCTTAGCATGCATGCTCAAATTCTCACTCTCATACACAATAATAAGTAAATATACACATAAATAGTAAGGAGAGCTAATTCTTAGCACTGTCAACTATTACATAATAGTTATGTATTCAGTAATCGGTTGAGAAAATACTAAATGACAAGCTACTATGATTTCAAAAACAGAAATTTGGCTTTAATAAGTGGGGTATGATAGTACCTACCTGTAATCCTAGTACTTGGGAGGCTAAGGCAAGAAGATTGCTGCAGTTTGGAGGCCAGCCTGGACTACATAGTGATTTTGAGTCTAGCCTGGACTACAGAGTGAGATGTGTTCTTATACTTTTTTAAGTTGTGCTTTTGTGTGTATGAGTGTTTTGCCTACATGTATGTCTGCCTAATACCTGCAAAGGTCAGAAGAGGGCATCAGATTCCCTGGAAATGGAGTTACAGAGTGTTGTAAGCCACCATGTGGATGCTAATGCTCTTAACTGCTGAGCCATCTCTCCAGCCCCTAGGATGTGTCTTTAGGGGGGAAAAAAAGTAAGCTGGACATGATGGTGTATGCCTTTAATTACAGCACTTGGGAGGCAGAGGCAGGTGTATCTCTTATGAGTTCAAGGCCAACCTGGTCTACATACTGAATTCCAAGCCAGCCTAGGCTACATAGCAAGACCCCCCCACCTCCCACCCACCCACCCTTTTTTTGTTTGTTTGTTTTTTGTTTTTTGAGACAGTTTCTCTGTGTATCCTGGTTGTCTTGGATCTCACTTTGTTGACCAGGTTGGCCTTGAACTCACTGAGATCTGCCTGACTCTGCCTCCCAAGTGCTGGGACTAAAGGCGTACGCCACCCCCCACCCCACTTTTTTTAAATTATAGCTCATTTGGTAGAGTGTTTGCCTAGCACATAGGAGGCCCTGCGTTTGATTTCCAGCACTCAAAACTGATCATGGTAGTGCATACCTGTAATCTTAGCATTCTTGGGTGGCAGAAGCAAGAAGATCAAGTCATCCTTGACTACATAGAGAGTCCAAGGCCAGCTTAGGTAGGAGACCTAGACCCTGCCTGGTTAGAAAGAGAAGGAGGGAAATATGTAAATAAAATAAAGACATAAATTGGGCTTTATTAGTTGTACCAGAACTGGCTAGACTTGAAACACACTGACACGCCCATTGTGTGTTCACGGCATTGGACATGATGAAAGCAGCATGCACTGATATCCAGCCTTGGCAGAGACATGTGTTCAAGGCCCCTAGTTCACATCTGCATGGAAGCCATCTCTGGGCTATGGAGGATATATGCTCACAGTGTTCTTTTTTAATTATTGTAATTACATAGGACCAAATGGTATAATAGTATTCATTTCAAATGGCAGTCTGCCAACAGCAGGTGACTGTTTAAATCTGTTTTCCCCGTGTTCTTATTAAGACTTTTTGCTTTCATCTCTATGGCTTTGGATAAGGTGGTTTATTTAGAAACTAAATCCACGTGGCCTCAGATATCTCAGTAGATACATACATACATACATGTATCCAAGTGGCCCTGAATTATACAACTGTTACTGCTAAAGCGATGGTAACCTCAATTTGTTGAGTTTTAATGTAGTTATTCATTTATTTTTATCACACTTAGTCGTGGGAGAGGGGGATGGTGCACGTGTGTGGAGGTCAGAGGACAACCTGAGGGAGGATGTTGGTTCTCCACTCCCTGTGTGGGTCCTGGGGACCCATCTCAGGTCATCAGGCTTGGTGACATGTGCCCTGACTGACTGAGCCGTCTTGTTGGCTCTAGCTATATATACAGTGTTCTGCCTACATGTGTCCTTGCAGGCCAGATTTTATATGGGTGGCTGTGAGCCACCCTGTGGTTGCTGGGAATTGAACTCAGGACCTCTGGAAGAGCAGTCAGTGCTCTTAACCACTAAGCTATCTCTCCAGCCCCAAATAGCTGTTTTCTTTGCTGCTTTTTTTTCTCTCGGGCACCCCCAGGCTGGCTTAGGACTCACTGTATACCAAGGATGACCTTGAATTTCTGAACCTCCTGCCTCCACCTCCCCAGTGCTGGTATTACAAGCATGTCTGGTTCATGTGGTGCTGGGGATCAAACTCAGGGCTTCCCGTATTGCAGGCGAGCAATCTGCCAAGATCCAGAACTGTAATTTTAGTAGCAACACATGATAGCTTTTGTTTTTGTAACTTCTGGAATTATAAACAGTTTGTTTATTTTGTCAGAAATTTTGGTCTTACTGTGCTCATAAATTTGTTAGCATTTTTCAGAAGGAATGATTTTTTTTTTTTTTTTTTTTTTTTTTGGAGACAGGTTTTCTCTGTGTAGTTTTGGTGCCTGTCCTGGATCTCACTCTGTAGACCAGGCTGGCCTTGAACTCACAGAGATCCACCTGGCTCTGCCTCCCGAGTGCTGGGATGAAAGGTGTGTGCCACCACTACCCAGCCTCAGAAGGGATGATTTTAAAGTGAAATTCGCTACATTCTATTTATTTGGGGCTAGAATAGTTTTCTTTTTGGGGGGCTGGGGTTGTTCAGTGACTTGCTTTGTATACTGGACTAGTCTTGACTTTTGATTCTGCCTCAGTCTCCTGAGTACTAAGATTACAGATGTATGCCACCATGCCCAGTTAAACTAAAAATATGTATTAAAATAGTTTTTACTTTATTTGTATATGTGTTTTCCTGCATGTATACATGTGTGCCTGGTGCCTGAGGAGGCCAGAGAAGGTGTCAGATTTCCTGGAGCTGGAGTGAACCTCCTCCACGTGGGTGCTGGGAATTGAACCTGTGTCCTCTGGAAGAGCAGCCAGTGCTTTTAACCACTAAACCACCTCTATAGAGTTTTTTAAAATTTATTTTTATTATTTTAAAGTGCGTGTAGGTATGTGTGTCTGCATGTGAGTATGTGGACATGAGCACAGGTTCCCATGGAAGCCAGAGGCAGCAGATCCCTTAGAGCTGGGAGTTACAGACATTGTGAACTATATGTATGTAGATGCTGGGAACTAACCTCGGGTGATCTGGAAGAGCAGTCCATGCTCCCAGCACTGAGCCAAACTCCTCAGCCCTGTGCAGATATTTCCTTATTTTAATCAGCATTTCTAAGATTACTTGGAACTTTTGTTTCTTAACGTTAATAGCTCAGTTCTTCCGAGTTGTCTATTTACTTCCTTTGCTTTTTCTGTAAAAATGAGCACTTTTCTCCGTTTGCACGGCTGTTCCTTCTACTGGGTATATTCGTTTGTTGAGGTTCCTTCTCCTACTCCAGGACTAGCCAGTAACTACAAAACCTAATTTTCAATACAGTTTTCTGGTACCAAGTAGTTTATGAGATGAAGTTGTGATTGTTTGTTGGCTGGTCATAAATATGCTAATTCAGATTTTACAAAACTATTTTGGATAGTTTGGATTATCATTCTCTCTGTGTTTCTCTGTCTGTCTGTCTGTCTGTCTGTGTGTTTGAGACAGGTCTCCTGTAGCCCAGGTTGGCCTCAAACTCACTTTGTAGCTGAGGATGACCTTGAGCTAGCTTTCGATTCTTCCTCAGCTTCCCAAGTGTGGCATTGGAGTCCTGTGCCATTAGGTCTGCTTTCTTGTTTAAAATGTCAAGAATGTGTCTTTGTCTTTCCAGAAAGAAGAAGTGATGTAACTCGATCACTCTGAAGACTTTGAGGTCAGGGTGACGAGGGAGCAGGAAGAGCATGGCCTGGCCACAATTTCTGCAGAGGGGGGCTCTGCTCACCGGCTTCAGCCATCACCATGTCGCTGTGTTCCTGCTCACTTTCTTCAGGTAATGGCTTCCTGACTCTCTGGTCTTCTGCCTTTGGGAGTGGTACTGTCTCAGAGAGTCCAGTATGATGGTGACACCGGCTTCCAGTGAAATAGATACCTTCCATTGGTACTGCATTTGTTTTGTTTTGCTTGGCGCGGAACTCGGGAGGGCTGCAAGCTTGCTGAGCGTGTCCTGTGTCACTGAGCTGTGACTGGCTCTCAGTTGTGCTTTTTTCCCCCCTAAATATTTAATGACACCCTCATAAGTCAAGTCTTTTGAGGTAGGGTCTCATTGTGTAGCTCTGGCTGTAGTAGAACGTGCTATGTAGACCAGGCTGACCTTAAACTTACAGAGATCCACCTGCCTCTGCCTCCTGAGTGGCGGGATTAAAGGTGTGCACCACGTCCCCCAGCCGCAGTTGGACCTTTTTTTTTTTTTTTTTTTTGGTTTTTCGAGACAGGGTTTCTCTGTGTAGCTTTGCGCCTTTCCTGGAACTCGCTTTGGAGACCAGGCTGGCCTCGAACTCACAGAGATCCGCCTGGCTCTGCCTCCCGAGTGCTAGGATTAAAGGCGTGCGCCACCAACGCCTGGCGCAGTTTGACCTTTTTAAAAAATGTTATGTGTATGGGTGTTTTGTCTGCATGTCTACCACATGCCTGTAAGGGTACCACCTACAGTGCCTGTGGAGGCTGGAAGAAGAGGTCATTGGGTCTCTTGGAACTGCAATAACATCATGTGGTTGCACGGAACTGAACCAGGCTCCTCTGCAAGAGCAGCAAGTGTTCTTATCCACTGGGCCATCTTCCAGCTCACATAATTCAATTTTAAAATTTTATTTTAATTAATTTTTGTGGAGATGAGGATAAAATTATAGCATTAGAGCATTTTATTTGTGCTTAGCCTTTACTTAACCACTGAGCAACTCATTTGATTTTGTGACTTTTAATTTTTTTTTTATTTATTTTATTTTGTGGCTTTGAGGATAGAATTCAGTCCTTGCACATAATTCTAGGCTTAGCACCTGAACTTAATTTCCTCCTTCATTTTTATTGAGACAAAGTATATATATTTGTTATTTCAAGGCTAGCCTGAGGTGCAAGTGCGCGTGCATCGCAACACACACACACACACACACACACACACACACACACACACACACACACACACATACACACACCCCTCCTGCTACCTCTGTCCTTGTGTTATAGATGTGCATTCTGATATCCCCATTGTACTTTGTTGATGACTTAGGATAATAGTTCTCAGGGTCATTTTGTTCTCCAGGGGTAATTTGACAGTTTGTGACATTTTGATTGGCCTGATGGAGGGTTACCGTTTTCATTTAGTGTCAGAGACCAGGGGTGCTGCTAATGTCCTAACTTGACCCAAGAACTCCTTGACAGAAAATGTTGTAACAGTTGAGAAACCCCAGTCTGATATCAGGTGCTTGCTACTGAAACGGGAGCTTGTAACAAAGACGTGCATTCAGGAGCGCGTTCTAGAACGGCAAAAATGAGAAGGATGTTGTCGGGAATTTGGGTAACTCCTGTGAGACCTGAGGCTTAGCAGCCCCTAACTAGTCAGCATGATTGGAGGAACTGTCTGCGTTTGTGATTCTAGAGCTCTAAGTGACCTCTGCAGTAACAGCATAAACCAGGATATTTAGGGGTAGGAGTTTATTATATGTAGCCCTCTTATTCAACAGTTTTGCTGTTTTCTCAGATCTTATTATTAATTTTGTTAATTTGTTTTTTGTGGGGTGCCCTTTGCCACGGTGTGAGAGTGGAGGTCAGAGGACATGGTCCTGGAGCCTGTCCTCTCCTTATCCACGTGTGCCCTGGGGACTGAATTTCGGTGATTAGGCTTGGAGACAGGGCCTTTAGCCACTGAGCCATCCCACCAGCTCTGTTAATCTTTATTGATGCCACTATACCTGTTGATTCCCCCCTCCGAGAATAAATTAGGAAAGAGCTTCTGTAGTCGTCTAAGAGTTGCTAGGTCATTTTGACAGCCTGGCTTAGGGCTCCCTATTTGTGTGAGATGGGGGTGGCAGGGAATGACTCATGCTTTCCAGAACTGGCACCGGGCCCTAAGGTAGGTGTGCCACATCCAGTGCCAAGATAAGTTATATACAAACAATGAAATCAAAAGGAAGACAAGTATTTTTCTCTCTCTTTCAAGACAGGGTTTCTCTGTGTAGCCCTGGCTGTTCTCGAACTTGCTCTGTAGAGTGGGCTGGTCTTGAACTCAAAGATCTGACTGCCTCTAACTTCTCAGAGCTGGGATTAAAGGCATGCATTAGCACCACTTGGTTAGTAGAGCCTGTCTTTTTAAACATTTATTTATTTTTATTTTATGTGCATTGGTGTTTTGCCTGTGTGTATGTCTGTGTGAGGGTGTTTTATCTTCTCGGAACTGGAGTTACAGACAGTTGTGAGCTGCCATGTGGGTGCTAAGAATTGAACCAGGGTCCTCTGAAAGAACAGCATTGCTCTTAACCACTGAGCCACCTCTCCAGCCCCAGCAGAGCCTGCCTTAATTAGCAGCTTTTACCTTTTACAAAGCAGCAAATGCTTTTCCTGTTTGTAAAGCTTCCAAACTTGCGTAAAATGAATGTGCAGGTTTGATTTTTGAGTGCTGTTTTCTTTGCTTCTCATTCAGTTCTGTTCTCTCTGTGTTTTGCAGCTATTCTTTGCTCCATGCGTCAAGAAAAACATTCAGCAACGTCAAAGTCAGCATTTCCAAGCAGTGGACCCCAAGTGCTTTTAACACATCCTTTGACCTGCCTGCAGAGGTACGCAGAGTGCGGGGATGGAGCCAAGAAGGGCTTCCTCCATGTCCACCCTTAGCAGTTCTTAAGTTCTTTTCACATCATCTGATCAGGACTCTGAAACAACTTACTGTGTCCTCGGGTACGAGCTCCAGAGGTTGTAAGTTCAGAACCTTCGGATTCAGCCTAGGTACCTAGCCCGTCACCTTGTGTCTCACTGTTGTGAAGTCACACAGTTCTGGCTTCATTGAGATTTCACAAGTGCTGTGTGCATTTCTCCCTTTGATTGATGGATTGATTTTTCATTTTTAGTTTTTGTCTAGTCTTGCACCCTTTCCTTTCCCTCCCTCCCTTTCTTCTCTCTTCTCTCCTCTCCTCTTTTCTCTGTCTCTCTCCCTCCTCCTCCTTCATCCTCTTTCTTTCTTTCTTTCTTTCTTTTTTTTTTTTGAGACAGGGTCTCTCTATGTACTTAGTCTTGGCTGTCCTGGAACTCACTCTGTGGACCAGGCTGGCTTCAAACTCAAGGAGATCCGTCTGCCTCTGCCTCCTGAGTGCTGGGAGTAAAGGCATGCACCAGCCATACAGCCAGCTACTTTTTTTTCTTTTTTTAAAAGTAACTCTCTTTAAAAAAAAAAAGTTGTGTGTGTGTGTGTGTGTGTGTGTGTGTGTGTGTGTGTGTGTGTGTGTGCTGTGCACAAATGCACATAGGTGTACATACATACCCAGAGACCAGAAGAGAGCATTGGATTCTCAGGAGCTGGAGGGTACGAGCTGCCCCATGTAGGTGTTGAGAAGTGAAATCTAGTCCTCTGAAAGAGAAGTAAGTACTCTTAGCTGATGAGCCATCTCTCCAGCCCCTCTTCACCCATTTTCTGCCAAAATTTTGCCCTTCCCTTTGGGATGAGGTAAAATACCTTTTTATTTTATTTTCTTTCTTTCTTTCTTTTTTTTTTAAGAATAAATTTTATTCCTTTCTTTGTGTGTTTTGAGTTTGTTCAGGGGTCGGTTCTTTCCACCATGTGGGTCCTGGAGATTGAAGTCCTAGCCAGCCCCTCGTTTCTTTTGTTTAGGCGAAACATCTTTGGCGCCTCCAGCTGTGGTTTAGTGACACTTGAGCCCCCAGTGTGGGAACCAGGTGCAGTCTGTCCCGCATCCACAAAGCTGGGATTTGTATTTTGGGATTGTGGGTTGGCAGGGCCCCTAGACCACCCCGGGTCTGATAGGTTAGTGGAGCACTTAGAGCACTCAGCATGTGTGATTTATTGTGGGAAAAGGAAAGGAAGTGAAATTAGCAAACGGAAAGGTGCCCAGCGTGACGCCTGCGGGAAACCAGGTTCCCTCCCAGAGCCTGTGACAGCATTTGTGAATTGCTGTCTACCTGGGAAGCCCCTTGGAGATTCATACCCAGGGTTTTTATTGGGGTTGGACATACAGGCCCCCTCTCTGTAACACATAGTAAAATTCCGGGATCTCAGGAAAGCAGTGTTCAGGTTGCTGGGTGCGGAGAGTGAGTGCTTGCTGGGAAATGGTAGGAACCTGCCCCAGTCTGGTTAGGGCCGTCTGATGCTTAGGGGTCTGCCTTGTGAGCAGGCTTTTCTAAGAAGAGCCACCTTAGGCCCGGGTTGACTCTTTTTGGCGGTAGCCATTCACATTATTAGCCCTTATGTAATAATACTGACTCTTTTGCTTGCTTGCTGGTTAATCCATCCATCCATCCTGGTGCTGGAGATCGAATCCCAGCCCTGTAGGTATTTATTTTACTCTAACTGACGGCACAGTAGGTGTTACTATCCTTTTTCTGCAGAACTGCTGATTTTGCTGTTTGGATTGATTGATGGGCTCTACAGAAATCAGCTTCTGGCATGCCCTGTAGAGAGAGCTTTGTGTTTCTTTACAGACCCATTCTGTTGATAGCCACACTCTGACCCAAGGCAGAAATTGGGAAATGAGTTTAAATGCAGCTTTTTTCCTGAGTTACACCACCAGTCCTCAGGATTTTACCTTCTGTTAAAGATACAATATTTTGGTGCTGGAGAGATGGCTCAGTGGTTCAGAGCACTGACTGGTCTTCCAGATGACCTGAGTTCAATTCCCAGCACCCACATGGCAGCTCACAATTATCCGTAACTCCAGTTCCAGGGGAGCCGACACTCATGGCCAAACACCAATGCACATTTAAAAAAAAAATACAGTATTTTGGGGCTGGAAGGATGCTCAGCAGTTAAGAACGCTTGCCCTTGCAGAGGCCCCTTGGGTCTCATCACCCGGGTCAGGCAGTTCACAGCTACTGGTAATTGCATTGTCAGGAGCTCCGATGCCTCTGGCCTCCATGGGCACCTACACTTACATGTACACACGTGCATGCTCCCACCCCGCAGTGGGGTAGAAATAAAAATGAATCTTTGATTTTTAAAATTACATTTATTTATTGTGTGTGTGTACTGTGGGCATGTGCATGCCACAGCACATATGTAGAGAAATCAGAGGACAGTTTCTGGAGACCACTTTCTCCTTCCACGTTGGGTCTTGGAGATTGAACTCAGGTGGTCTGGATCACGCCTGTGAACTATCTTGATGACTTTGAAAATAAATCTTAAAAAATAATACTGCCAATAGTAAAGTTTCTCTTTAAAAGTCTAAAGTAGGCAATCTAACCTCTGCCATAGCTCTCGAGCAGAGCTGTGTCCTGCCCAAAACTCTCCTGTGTTCATTTGTTGTCAAGTCTTCCTGTAGCTCCAGGTAGCAGCTGATCCGGGAAGCTGTTTTTGTTCAATTTTTTTTATTAATTAAAAAAAAAATTTATGTGTGTGAGTGCTATGCTTGCGTGTGTATACTTGTGTTCCTGATTTCAATGGAGGCCAGGAGAGGGCATCAGGTCCTCTGGAATGGATTTATGGATGGTTGTGAGCCACCATGAGGGTGCTGGGAATGGAATTTGGATCCTCCGAATGAGCAGCCAGTGCTTTTAATTGCTGAGCCATCTCTCCAAGTCAGGGAGTTGTTTTTTTTTTTTTTTTTTTTTTTTTGGTTTTTCGAGACAGGGTTTCTCTGTGTAGCTTTGCGCCTTTCCTGGGACTCACTTGGTAGCCCAGGCTGGCCTCGAACTCACAGAGATCCGCCTGCCTCTGCCTCCCGAGTGCTGGGATTAAAGGCGTGCGCCACCACCGCCCGGCCAGGGAGTTGTTTTTAAAGTATATAAAACATGGCTTTCCTGGGTGGAGGTGCATACAGTTTCTGATTCCTGAATATTTAGTACAGTCAGAACTTACTTCTTCTAAATGCCTGCCTTTGTACACGCTGCCTAGTCTTCTTACTGAGCTGATGTGCTCACCAGCATCTCAGCGTGTTGACTTAAGAGAAGGGTGGACTAAGGAGCATCCTCAATGCACTAGAAGTAGCAGCAGGTCCTTGTCAGAGCTGGCCCTTTGAAAGCATGCAGCTTTTTACACGGGGACTCTGGGGCACGCCCCTTTCCTTGTGTGCACATGTGTGCCTGTGTTCTTACTAGAGGTCACCCTGCTCTTCGCTGCCAGGGTTGTGTGGGATGGTGGTGGATGCAGATGGGTGGGAAGTGGTTGAGAGGAGTCGGTACTAAGGTCACAGCAGATGACTGGTTCTGTGTTTCTGCAGCTCTGGAGCAGCAACCATTTGTTCCCCAGCACAGAGGAAGCCACTCTTTTCCTTGGGACACTAGATACTGTTTTTTTGTTCTCCTATGCTGTGGTAAGTTTTAAGATTAATGGAGTTTTTGTTTGTCTTTGTTTTTTAAAAAACTACTTAAATTTTTGTTTTGTTTTATTTTTCAAGATAGCCCAGGCTGGCCTCGAACTCACAGAGATCTACCCGCCTCTGCCTCCTGAGTGCTGGATTAAAGGTGTGCGCCACCACACCTGGCTGAAAATTTATTTTTTTATTGTGGTGCTGAGAATCAAACCCAGGGCTGTGCCTAGACACATGCTGTCCCGTGACTGACCTCCCCACTCCCTCATCAGATCTTTTTAAAAAATTATTATTGTTTTGTTTTTGTATGTTTGAGGCAGGTTCTCTGTGTTGCCCTGGCTCTCCTAAAGCTGGCTCTGTAAACCAGGCCGGCCTCAAACTCACAGAGACCCTCTTGCCTCTGCCTCCCAAGTCCTGGATTAAAGACATGCTGTACCACACTCGGTAGATAGATTTTTTTTATTATTATTTATGTGTATGTGCATTTTGCCTACACGTATATCTGTACACCACATGTGTACTTGGTGTCTGTAGAGGTGAAACAGGCACCAGATCCCCTGAAACCAGACAGTTTTGATCCACCATGTGAGTTCTGTGAGCTAAATTCTGGAAAAGCAACCAGTACTCCTAACCACTGAGCCATCTTTCTAGCCCCAAATGGCTCTTTTGTAGACCTGCCTTTCCTTCTGCGGCTTCCAGGCCTTGTGCTTTCAGGAATACAACAGCAATTGGCTCCCTTATTGGAAAGCGAATGGAGAGTTTTCCATTGGCCACTTACTCACAAATTGCACAGGCTCTTGGGGCGTGTGTAGACCACTGAGTCTGATGCTTGTCTGCCGAGCCTCCAGTGTGGAGGGACAGACACCTGTGACGCTTGTCACCTGAGGGTTCTGTGTTATTAAGGCACTCAGTTTATTGGAAATAGTTGGTCCTACGTCAATTTAAGTTTGAGGTCAAGACAGTTACTCATTTTAGACATTTGTGGCAGAAACCTAAGGTGTGTTGCCCTCAAGGTCTGGACTGATCTCAGTATTTACTTCCTGCTGGGCACTGGCAGGAGAGTGGAAGGTCGGCCACTTGTGTCTCTCATTGGTCATTGCCCTCCCAGCCTTCCCATCCTCCTTGCTTTGTGATCTCCAGAAACCTAAAGGGGCACAGGCAGTTGGGGTGCATCGTAACCTGTAGCTAGAGTTTTCCTGCCTGGCCCACAGTCAGGACAAATCTCTGACACCCGCCAGTCAAACAGCTGCTCATACCCAACCAAGTAAACACAGAGACTTATATTGCTTACAAACTGTATGGCCGTACCAGGCTTCTTGCTAACTGTTCTTATATCTTAAATTAATCCATTTCTATAAATCTATACCTTGCCACGTGGCTTGTGGCTTACCGGCATCTTCACATGCTGCTAGTCATGGCGGCGGCTGGCAGTGTCTCCCTCAACCTTCCACTTCCCAGAATTCTCCTCTCCTTGTCCCGCCTACTTCCTGCTTGGCCACTGGCCAATCAGTGTTTTATTTATTGACCAATCAGAGCAATTTGACATACAGACCATCCCACAGCAGTAACCTCTGTCCTGTGCCTTGCGCGTGCGGGAACATTTCTTAACCCCAAGTGCTCATGGCTCAGAGAATCCTGCAGGAAGGCTCAGAGCCACTGCTTAATCCAGCTCACCTAGAAAATGGAACATGTCCGGGGGCTCACCTTGTCCTCTCCTGCAGAATGTTGGCAGTACAGTGTTATAGACAGTTCACGCAGAGCTGTGAATAAGGTTTGGTTTTTCCAGTCCCTCTCTTTAGTTTGCCTCACTGGTCACGTGTGCTTCCAGTTCAGACCGATCCCATTTAGAGGCATCACGTGAAATGCTCTCTTTCCAGGGCCTCTTCATCAGTGGCATCATTGGGGACCGACTGAATTTGCGATGGGTTCTGTCCTTCGGCATGTGTTCCTCTGCATTTGTGGTAAGTTGGAAGATTGTTATGGTTATAGTGCTTATTACTGGGCTGTCCAGATGGCTTAGGGGTTCAAGGAGCAAACCTGGTGACCTAACGTCCGTCCCCTGACCCCACAGTGGGTGGAGAGACACGCCTAAAAGTTGTCCCCTGACCTCCGTGAGTGCACTCTGGCATGCGTGTACCCCACTCACACGTGCGTATCATAAACACACTAATCGTGACTAAAATTTAAAAATAAGCAGTGGCTACTACTTTGATCAGATAGATGTTCTAGGCTCTTAGTCAGCCCTTTCATCTCCATCCGGAGTGCAGGAATGAGACTGGTCTTCGTGTTGTCTTCCTGTGTGTCTTTCGCTGAGGCGCATCTTCATAAAGCAAGAATCCTGTCATCCTTGATTCTCATAGCCTGGATAAACAGCACAGTGTTGGCTCTCTTCAGCCTGGTCTCAGGCTGCCTGCCAATCATGCTCGCTTGCCTGCCTGCCTCGGCCGCAGACAGACTAACACATTCTGATTCCCTGACCCGGCCACTGTTTTCTATCCAGCACTTTTGTTCTCATTCTTCTGGCCTCAAATGGCCCTCGTGTGGCCAGGAGACACCCTTGGCTCTGCACCTCTCTCTGACAGGACTCACTCATGGCCTCTTCCAGGCTCTGGCTCACATTTTCCCCCTTTGTCTGTGCGGAGGCTTCAGTCTTGCTTTCCGGAGTAAGCCCATAGACCCCAGCCTGGGACAGCCTCAGCCTGCTGACTCTTTCTCCTGTTTTCTGATCCGGATTCTCCAGTGTTTCCCCTTCCTCATTTGCAAAGGGGATGTGCAGATCCCCTTCTCCCGCGGGTTCGGTGAGGGTCTGGTGTGTCTGTCTGTCTGAGGGCCGTTTGGAATGGCACCTGACACACGTGAGATGCTGTGCGCGGCAGCCTCCGAGTCAGCCATCGTTACTGCCAGTGAGGGTTCTTACCGATTGAATCAACTCCTGGACTTCAGTCAGATTCTGATTATTTTGGTTTTTCAATGTCTGCCATATTTTAAAGTTTTAGAAATCAAAGCACTTTATTTATAAGCCAGTGAGCTGCACTTATATACCTACTTTTTTAATATTTAAAAACATTCAGATGTATATATAAACCCTGTAGGTATGTAGTCTCATCTCTGCAAACAAGCATGGTTGAGTGACTACCTCTGTCTCTTCCTGCAGCTGCTGGGCAACCATTGACCATTTTTCTCTCCTTGTAGTTTTGCTTAGTCTAGAATTTACAACTGAGATCTGACAGTATTCTACTTACCCATGCCAAGTCCTCTCAAAATAGACTTCGACTGCAAATAAAATGTCCCTTTGAGAAAATGCCTGGAAAAAAACAGGCACATGATAGAAGCTGTTGAATAATTCAGCAGATGATAGATAGGATTCACTTAAGTGAGTGAACTTGGTAGCTGCCATAGCAACATCTGGCTTACATGGGACAGTCCTGGTGCTCAGTGCCTGGTTCTGTCCTGACCCAGCATGCACATGTGGGTTCATGTAGTGCTTTGGCCCTCTGGAGATTGCCATTCCCAGAGGGGTGAGGGAGCAGATGGAAAATGGAAGATTCAAGTTGAAGGAAGTGTTGTGTGTGTGTGTGCACACGCGTGTGCCCTGCAGGTGTGCTCATACAGAAGCCATTGGAGGACATTGTGGGTTTTGCTCTCTCACTCTCCACCTTGTTTTCTTAAGGCAGGGTCTTTCACTGAACCCGGAACTTGGCTGGCATCCAGTGAGCCCCAGTAATTTTTCTGTTTGCATCCCACGTAGCACTGGGCTTACAAGGGTACATTAAGACTACACTCAAGTTTTAAAAGGGATTGAAACTTGTATCTTCATGCTTTCATAGCAAGCATACTCACCCATTGAGCCATTTGCCCACCCCACAAATACATTTTTTGTGTATCCTGAAAAGCAGTTGGGTGTATTGCAAGTGTCTGTGTGACGCCACATGTCCCCTTTTCTCCTTCTCTTGAAGGTGTTTGTCTTCGGCACCCTTACGGAATGGCTGTACTTCTACAACAAGTGGCTCTACTGCGGCCTGTGGATTGTGAACGGCCTGCTGCAGTCCACTGGCTGGCCCTGCGTGGTTGCTGTGATGGGCAACTGGTTTGGCAAAGCTGGGTATGCCGCTCTAATGTTGGGTCACTGAGTCTGCTCAAACTCTGTGAACTGGGTGCTTTAGAGCACGCCTCATCTTGTCTCTGTTTTAGACAGAGCAGTTCTGGGATAGGAGGTCCACGGCAGAGTGTGTTGTGGACCTCAGTGATGGTCTATAGACACCCAGTGAGGCATATTGCTAAGGCCGTACTTCCCAGTTCATTCTTCTTACGCCTCTCTCCTTTAGAAACTGTAACAGTCCCATCCGAATGCCATCTATTATGCATGTTCCTTTGAGTTTAGCTTCCTTTGTCGGATTTTGAGACTCTGTGGTTTCCTTATCATTGCATTAACAGTAAGGAAACTCAGCCTTGAAGGTTGGGGACATTGCCCAGTAGTAGAGCACGTGTGTAGCATGTAGAAGATACTGCTAGCACAGAAGAAAAAGGTATCCATGTGACGTGTCTAAGGTCACTAAAAGAGGGCTCCAATTCAGAAGTTGCCACGATTTGGGGCTTACAGCACCTCCCTACCCCTCAACCTTCATGTTAGAGTATGGTGGACTTGGCATGTGTGCTGTGGGTGGGCTGCAGGAGGAAGGAAGGTGCCTGCTGATGAATCCTCCAGGCCATCCCTGAAGAAGGCATGCTGAGTGCACAGGATGAAAAGTCGAAGGATCCAGGCTTGCTTTGTGGTTTAGCTTTTTGTTTTGTTTTGTTTTTTGTTTTTCGAGACAAGGTTTCTCTGTGTAGTTTTGGTGCCTGTCTTGGATCTCGCTCTGTAGACCTGGCTGGCCTTGAACTCACAGAGATCCGCCTGACTCGGCCTCCCGAGTGCCATGATTACAGGTGTACGCCACCATGCCTGGCAAGAAGGGGCCACAGCGTGTGATGTTATTGACAGAAGGAAGCTAACTTGGTTTGCAGGGGCCTTGGGCTGTGTGATGGACACTAATGCTCAAGTGGAACACCCAGCATGGAAGTCTTTCAAGAATGTAATGCAAGAAGGGAAAAGATGATAAAATTATGAGTACTGAGCGAGAGTGGGTGTGTGCCTCGGCAGCCCAGCTGCCAGTGGTCCATCTTAGATGTGGAGAGCCTCTGAAGGGACCTTCCATCTCCAGGTACACAGCCAACTAAAGTCCGTGCAGATGGGAGGAAGCCTGTGGGGTGGGATCTTACTCTAGAGCCCAGGCTGGTCTTGAACTTGTAATTCTCTTGCTCTGGCCTCACAAGGGCCTGGCAGACTGATGTTAAAGAAGCAGCTGCAGTGAGACAAATCGGGCCAGTACTGCTTTAGACTCTGACTTCTTGGGAACCTTAACAGTAATCCACGGAGTCCGCTGAGATTGGGAGTGCTGGGAAAAAAAAAAAATCCCAGTTTTCGTAGGCCAGATTCTTCTGAGTCATGCACTTCGGTCCTGGCTTGCTTACTTGCCCGCTCCATGACCCCCTTGATGGGTTTTAGTATTTTTATAGTATTGGAGATTTTCATCTATTTTTGTGTTTGTTTTTCTTGAGACAGTGTCCTGCCATGTAGCATGGGTGCCTTGAACTTGCTGTAATCCGACCCTAGCCTTCCAAGTGCAGGGATCAGAGGCGTAAACCACTATACCTGGCTTCTTTTCTTCAATTCTTTTTTTTTTCTTCAGTTCTTAAGACTTCACTATTGCTATGCAAGTGCTCCACCTCTGCATTCAGCATCTAACCCCTATATGAAAATTTAATATCATTAAATCTTAGAAGAATCTGATTTTATCATTCTGGTATATTTTTCAAAACTTTAAATGGAATGTTGATTCTTTGTAGTGCACATCTTTACTGTTTTGGCCATTTTTCATTTTGTCTGCACATAGAACCCCTGACGCATTGTCTTGGTTTTTCCATTGTTGTTCTTAGCCGAGGAGTTGTCTTTGGCCTCTGGAGTGCCTGTGCTTCGGTGGGCAATATTTTGGGAGCGTGCCTGGCTTCATCTGTTCTGCAGTATGGCTATGAGGTGGGTGTTTCTTTCACGGTTGGTATGTGTACACTTGCTCTTGCTGTTTAATCCAGGGTGACCTTGAACAACTACTTATCCTCTTTCCTCTGTCCAAGTGCTATGATTACAGGCATGCGCCACCATGCCTGGCAAGAAGGGGCCACAGCGTGTGATGTTATTGACAGAAGGAAGCTAACTTGGTTTGCAGGGGCCTTGGGCTGTGTGATGGACACTAACGCTCAAGTGGAACACCCAGCATGGAAGTCTTTCAAGAATGTAATGCAAGCTGGGGGCTGTGGCGCATGCCTTTAATCCCAGCACTCGGGAGGCAGAGCCAGGCGGATCTCTGTGAGTTCGAGGCCAGCCGCCTGGTCTACAGAGCGAGATCCAGGACAGGCACCAACACAATATGGAGAAGCCCTGTCTTGAAAAACCAAAAAAAAAAAAAAAAAAAAAGAATGTTATATAAGAAGGGAAAAGATGATAAAATTATGAGTACTGAGCCAGAGTGGGTGTGTGCCTCGGCAGCCCAGCTGCCAGTGGTCCATCATGGGTGTGGAGAGCCATCTCCAGGTACACAGACAACTAAAGTCCGTGCAGATGGGAGGAAGCCTGTGGGGGTGGGGCATGTTCAGTCAGCTGAGTATTTGGCAGACTCTGAATAGGGTGGTGTAGTGGATCCCCAGCAGGCTCAAGTTGAAGTAAGCCTGTTCACGCCGAAAGAGGAATAAAGACAGTCACCTTCTTTCTGACCTCTGAGCCTTTGGGAATATCATCACAAGATGTTGCCAATTATTTGCATTGTTTTAACTACTTTGAATTCCTGAGGAATCAAACGGCCAAGAAGCCCTAGGCATCCATCCCAAATATCCTTAGGAGTCTAAGTGATGCCAGAAGTGAAACTCTCCCAGAACATGGCCCTAAAGCCAACAGAGCAAGAAGCTGGGCGCACTGGCTCTGTTATAGTGCTGGGTGTGTAAGTAAATAAGAGAATGACAGAAAGACTATATTGTGTGTTTACTAGTTTGGTAAAATACAGGTTGGTAAGCTGTTGTGATCCTGAGGTTGGGAAGCAATGGCCATGGCTGTTGTTGGCAGTGTCTGTCAGGTTACGGCGGCTCTGACCAGGCTGGTCCACCTCAGGGAAGTGTCGGCACCCGTGAATGTGCACACCCGTGTACATCAAGTGTTATCTGTAGTTACCACAACACAGTGTATCAGAGCCAAAGCTTGACGTTAAATGTCAGCTGACAGGAAAGTATTTAAACTCTGATGCACCTGCTGGAGGATGCCGTCCATGCAGCTCTGACTTTGGGATCAGAACCTCTAACTAAAGAGATCAAGACACTGGGAAGATCTCACAGACAGCAGGCAGGCCAAGCGGTGTGCCCAGAGATGCCATTTGGAGAAAGGAAGAGTGATAATGGTTGCATTAGCTTGTATGTTTCCTAACGGTCCCTGGAGAACAAAAACTATTTGTATGTTTCCTGACGGTCCCTGGAACAAAAACTATTTGTATGTTTCCTAACGGTCCCTAGAGAACAAAAACCATACGGCAACGTTTATATGTTCGGCAATTGAGAGATGGATGGGTTGGGAAGAGATCGGGCAGAAGGGATTTACTCCACACCATAATCTTATTTTCTTGACTAGATTGCCAGTTAGAAACCTAAGTGATTAAAAGTAAGTTGCTCCTTCAGAGAGTAGGTATTTTGGTCCAGGTGAAGCCCATCATCTGTCACAATCACCTTTTTTCCCTAGACTTTTTTACGTGTCACACCTGGATTGTACTAATTGGTTCAAGTGTGAATTTCACTCACCCTGTGCTGCTCCTGGATCTAGCATCTGGAAATACGCCTTTAATTTTGTTGTCCAGTTGTTTAAAAATTCTGTCTCATTGTCTGTATCATTAAGACGGCTGTACAGCCTGGCCATTGAGTCTTTCATCCCGACCTCCGCCTCCCATGGCAGTTCTCTTCCCTGTGGTCCTGGGCAGAAGCCCTCCCCAGACATGCCGGGAACGGCCATCTCATCCCCAGGGTGCCAGCATCTCTGCGGCTGTTGTGCCCAGGAGATGATTCTCCACCGTGTCCCTAAACAACATCATCTCATGTGTCAGCCTGCTTTTACCTGATTCCTCTTGAGTCCTCTATGTTTCCACTAGGGCTGGGTCTTCCTGTTCATTTAGCTTCATGCCACCTTTTCGTATTGTGTTGGGTATTGGTAATCCCCTCAGCTGGATATAATACCTTCGAGGGCAGATGTTATGTCTTTGTAGGAGTTTGGATGATGAAAAGATTGAGATTTGGGGGCTAATCCTGATTTTTCAATCCTAGTAGTGACACTTAGTATCCAGGGGACCCTCACGGTCCTCTGTGAGCCTCACCGTGTCCTTAGGAAAATGCAGTGAGGAGTCACATGTAAGAAAGTTGGCATGGTGCCTAGCCTGGAAGCCCCGGGTACTGAAGTCCTCCCCGTCCCCTGCCTTTCCTGTCCGACACTCCCCCCCCCACCCCACCCCCCCGTGTGTGTGTCTAATGACCACAGCTGTGACGACCCCTCTGTGTGAGAACCACCTCAGCCATCTCTCTCCTCCTCCAGTATGCCTTTCTGGTGACCGCGTCTGTGCAGTTTGCTGGCGGGGTCGTCATCTTCTTTGGACTACTGGTGTCACCAGAAGAAATCGGTGAGGAGAAGCCATCTCTTCTGTTCAAAATACCTTACTGTTAGGAGTTGAGGGAAGTCCAAGGACAGGAAAGGAATTCCTGGAGGAAGGCTGCACACTGCTCTGAGGGCATTAAAGGAACACTTTCGCCCTGTGCATCCTGTCCAGTCACAGCCAAGTCTGTTACCACTGAGGTGTTTGAGGGAGTGAGGCTCATATGAGTGCAGGGAGAACCGAACGTTTGTAGACCATTTGTGTAACTGAGACACTGGCTAAGAATGTAACATCTTAGCCAGGCGGTGGTGGCGCACGTCTTTAATCCCAGCACTCGGGAGGCAGAGGCAGGCGGATCTCTGTGAGTTCGAGGCCAGCCTGGGCTATAGAGGGAGATCCAGGAAAGGCGCAAAGCTACACAGAGAAACCCTGTCTCGAAAAACCAAAAAAAAAAAAAAAAAAAAAAAAAAAAGAATGTAACATCTTGAGATCTTGAGACTGGATTCTTTTCCTTTAGAAACTGATCTGGTTTGATATTTTCTTGTGGTTAAATATGGAATGTGTACAAGTGAAGCCACAGGAGCAGAAGGGTGTGCAGCTCTTTGAGCTTTTGAGTGACAGGCTCTGGGGCCTTAATTGGCTCTGCTTGTCCTTGGTCTCTAGACCTTAGCTGGGTCTTCTACACAAGGAAAATAAAAAACAGCATCAGCTCTGTAAGCGGTGATGTATGCGAAGCCTGACGCAGGCCTAGGTGCACAGGTGGTGTTCTGTAAATGGTCACTGTTGGTGCTGTCCTAGGTCTCCCAAGTATTGAGGCAGAAGAAAGCTCAGAGGAAGATTCACACAGGCCCCTCATTAGTGGTGCTGAAGATGAAGATGGATATGAGCCAAATTATTCCATCCAAGAGGACGGGGCTGCCACCCAAGTGACGGCAATAAGTTTTCACCAGGCTTGCTGCCTCCCTGGAGTCATACCGGTAAGGACTCGCCTGTCTCCTTCCTCGGCCGGCCAGGGAAGCCGCCTTCATTTGACCGGTGTGTTTTGAGATTGTGTAGCATCCCTCCGCTTCCCTGATAGCCATGATGACTGAGTATTTGTAACTCTGGGGGAACTGAAAAATCTTAGTTTAGTCCCTTGACTCTGTAGCACACAGAAGCTGCAGATGGGCATGGCCAGATGTGACCCGTGAACCTGCCGACCCTGATCTAGCATGCAACTCCAAAGGCAAAAATGACAAGTTTTTAAATATGTGTCTTGAGTCTGTTGAATTTACGGTTCGCTATCTGCCTCATTTGTGACTTCTGGTCATCCCAGGGAGTAGGGAGTCACCCTGTCCAGGACAGACACTCAGTATCTTGGTAACGCATCCCAGTGTCTCCACAACTTCGCAGTCAGGAAAACCTCCGTCTGTCTGTCTTGATGTTTTGGGTGCCCTACCACTGGAGTGGAAGTTAAGAGGCCTAGTTTGTGTTTCCAGCTTGCCCACTAACTTTCTGTGAGACCTGGCTAAGTCACCCAACCCATCCTTGTGACTCAGTTCCCCTTCCTGTGGGATGGAGATGACACCCGTCTTGCCTGGGTCTAGAACACTGGCTCTTTGTGTAGTCGGCGAAGCACCTGCTCTTGTCACCTTGTTTCATGATGCTTATGCGTTTCCCCCACCCCCACTTTTGAGTCAGTCCCTAGGCCGTCCTGTTCTGTCCCTGGCAGCTCCCTTCCCTGTTCTGTCCCTGGCAGCTCCCTTCCCTGTTCTGTCCCTGGCAGCTCCCTTCCGCCTGTGCCTCTGCTAAAAAGCCTAACCCTCCCAACAGGAAGTCCAGTGTCAGTCCAGTGTAAGTGTAACACACCCCTGTGGTGCTTGAATCAAGACTAGTGTTAGGGAAGCTCCGCTGCTTGTGGCCCTGTTCTTAGGAAGAGCCTGTCTGAATTTCAGTTATTAAAGTATTTGGCTGGTCGTTGCTTTGGTTGAGACAGAACTTGGGTTTGTTGTGACCAAACAAGAAGCTCATTTGCTGGTTCCTTTGCACTTCCTAAGCCATTGTTCTCTAGCAGGCCGGGGCGGAAAGGCAGGCTAGTGAACCCCAGCCTTTGTCTTTGTGGCAGGCTGGGGGCAGAGAGCTCTGCTGCCTGAGATTTGGCTCTACGGGGTGGCTGCTGCCCTGCCAGGGAAGCTCTTTTAAAACAAGGGGCACCTGGGGAATAGCTGACGCTCAGGGGCAGGAGTGTGCTAGCCAGACACCCTTTGAAGTCAGCCCTCTGCCTCCGCCTTCCCTTTGATGCTAATAGTCAGGGTTTCCTGGTAATAATGTGTTGGATACAGGAGTCTCAGCCATCACCCACTTAAGGCAGCTCTCTTTCAAAAGAGAGCCAGGAGGCCAGTCCTGAGCACATCCCTTCCTTTTTGACCCACCAGAGATTCTCTCCTTTGTGGGATGTAGGGCTTTTCGGAAGCTCTAATATGAAAGCGGTCCTCAGGGGGATGGATGTCTTTCTGTAACTCTCCATAGTTTATTTACAGCATTAGCTTGGTAGGAAGAGAACCACGAAAGTCTGACTGCTTGCAGCATGAGCTGAGATGTTTGCTAGGCTGATTTGTCCGTAGCTGATGTGGGTAGGCAGCACAGACACCGTGGATATTTTGTCTGAATAAAGAAATGTGGGTACAATGCGCACTGCTTTGTGGGTTCCAAACACCGGCTTGCTTTTGCCAGAGAAATGATAGGAGAGAAACTGGGGATAGTTAAGAAAAAGCTGTATGCGATTTTTTTATTTTAAGGACTTTATTAGAAAGCAGTGGGAGTAAAGAGAAGAGGGCTTCCGGGTCAAGTCAGGGAGGTCATCATGCTGTGCTGTTTGCTGCTTGGTGATAGCTGTGTTTTTCTTGCAGTACTCCCTGGCCTACGCCTGCCTGAAGCTGGTGAATTACTCCTTCTTCTTCTGGCTGCCCTTTTATCTGAGCAACAACTTCGGGTGGAAGGAAGCCGAAGCCGACAAGTTGTCCATTTGGTACGATGTCGGAGGCATTGTAGGTACGCACGTGTGCGCCTCCTTCCGTAGTTAGGAAATGTTGCTTCATTTGAAGTTTTACTGCTTGCTCCACAGCCGTCTCTCCCAACCCATCCTACCAGTAAACCCGCAAACTTGTGTGAGAACAAAAAGTCCATAGAGAGGAGGGCCAGTCTGAGACGGCTGTGATTCATAGGCTGTCTTTTCTTAGTCTTGGGTTGATGGATCAGTCCTTTTGTCTTGGGAGCACTCGGGAATCTCTTTAAATGCAGCCCTTTGTATGCTTTCAGGGGTGGCTTGGCTTTGAAGCTGATTTTGTGAGAGATTCAAGATGGAGTGGGAATGTGTTCGTTTTGGCTTCTTCCTACTGTCCCACTGTCTCTGGCCGAGGAAGCAAACACAGCACCTTCCTGGGTAGATTGTCAGATACGAGAGGAAGGAAGAGCAGGAATTTTCCTTTTCTTTGTGTGTGTGTGTGTGTGTGTATTTGCAATTGCCCTGCTGTATACAGCGATTTAGTTTATTTTTCCAGGCTAGGGATTGAACCCTGGACTTTGTACTCACTAGCAAATATGTATAATCCTAGTTCTGTAACAGATTTTACCAGTGGCTTTGTGGTATAGACCGAAATACAAACAAGGAAATACTAAACTTTTAAATAAGACCAATAGATTACACACTATGGCCCCACCTTACCGTCTCTCTCTGTGATATTTACACACAGATACAGTAAGTCCAAGCTACCCTGAGCACATGAACTGCGCAGTAGGTCCTTAGGTGGCACACGGACATTATATCTGAACTCAGCTGTTGGTAGTCTAAGGTCCAGAGCCAAAGGTGATGTAGACACCCCGAGACCTGCCATATTCTGTGCCTTCCTAAAGTAAAGGTACCTTGGTGCAGAACGAACAAAGTTGGTTTGGAGATGCAGCTCAGGGGCTCTGTTGATAGCTCGTGAGGTGTCTTCCTAAATTTGGTGGTGTTGAGGCCGAGCCTCCCAAGCTCACACTGAGCTGCTTTCCGGTTTATGATCTTCCTGCTCCAGCCTCCAGGGTGCTGGGAGTACAGGTTCACTTAGTTAATTCATCATCTGCTTTAAATTAAAATGGAGAAAATCCAGGATCACTTCACTCTTTATTTGGTAGGGGAAATAGTAAATATGGGTAATAGTGGTTTTGATGGTTTTCTTTTTTCTCTCTTTGATGATTGATTTGAGGTGTCCTGTCCATGGGCCATCACCGTGTGAGAACCAGCTGTGTCTTTGGTCCCTGAGGAGCTTGCCTCAGAGAGCTTGGCCCAGGCACCGCTGCGTTCCGCTGACGTATCTACTCTTTGTGCTTCAAGGTGGGACTCTGCAAGGCTTCATCTCCGATGTGCTGCAGAAAAGAGCCCCCGTGCTGGCCCTCAGCCTCTTCCTGGCGGTTGGGTCCCTTGTTGGGTATAGTCGTGAGTATTCCTCTGCAGCTGCCTTGATTCCTGATCTCTTGAAGGTAGACCCTTGCCCAGAGTCAGTGGTCAGCCGTGGAGAGAGCCGGGATGAGCTCGGAGTGCCTGGGAACTGTCATCACGTGGTTTTATTTGTGTGGAGAGGAGACTGGCATCTCTCCTGCTTTGTGGATCTGTTTGAAAGCTTGCTTGGGAGTGTATTGCTTTGTTTGAGGGGCGCTTCCAGAGGGACAGCATTAGAGCTGATAAAACCATAAAAGGGGGCAAGGTTTCAAAAGCGGGAAGATGGTAATTAGTAGGCCTTGGGGTGTGTGTGTGTGTGTGTGTGTTCTAAAGACGGTGGAATCGTTCTCTGCTGTTAGACATCTCATTAGTTTGAGCTGCAGCCAGAGGCAGACAGGACAAAAGCTGAAGAGGCAGGCGGGGAGAGTTGTCCGTCTTTGTTGTCTCTGGAGGGATTGTGAGGTGTCGGACATGCAGCCGCTGTGCGCTGTTGACGAGGCACACACACCTGCTTTTCCGGTCACCGTGCTGTGTGTCTCTTCTCACAGGCTCCCCGAACAACAAGTCCATCAATGCGCTTCTGATGACCATCACAGGTATGGTAGGCCCTTCTGTTCACTGTGCTGTTCCTCTGGGAGTTCGGAGAAGGCTGTCTCCCGCAGATGGACTGACACTAAAACCTCCGCTCTGTAGAACTCAAGTGATAGAGAGGTCGATGCCTCCTTGGCCATCTTCCCCCTCTGTGACAGAAGCTGTCCCTGTGAACAGATGTCCTAAACATTTGGATTCAGAAAGTGACTTAGGAAGGTGTCACATTGGAATTCCATCCACCCGCTTATGGAAGTCCAGGGCAGTTAGCTTTTTCTCTTGTGCCAAACTGGGTCAGTATTTTCCTGAGCACTAGGTAAAGTAGTTGGGCACAATTAAGGAACCTGTTATTTTAAAAAGTTAGTTATTTTTTTGATTCAGCAAGATGTGTGACTCTGATTCCAGTATGATGACCCAGTTTACAAGAGCCAAGCCACACCCAGCCGTGGGTTGGCCTTCTGAGAGCCGTGGCAGATAGCATCCCTGTACCTTTGAAACAGCGCCGTCTTGGCCCTCTCTTTCCAGTGTGTTCATTGACTTGAGTGGCTCCAACATTCAGAAGACTGTGTGTTCTGTTGTATTGTTCTTAACCTTAGGGGCCATATATATACACTACAGTGTCACACCATTCAGGAAGGGAGTTTAGAAAAGTAGATACCACTTAGTTTGAAAATGCTGCCTGAGGGCACTTCCTTTATTTTCTGTTTCTCCCCAACATGTTCAGACATTGGGGTGATATTGTGTCTTACCTGGCTAGAGTTAGGGATTATATTTTAACATGAACCTGTTCTCTTTATGGCTTCAGGGTTTTTTATTGGCGGACCATCCAATATGATTAGCTCGGCTATTTCTGCAGACTTGGGTCGCCAAGAGCTGATCCAAGGGAGCAGTGAGGCTCTGGCGACCGTCACGGGAATTGTCGATGGAACTGGGAGTATTGGTGCTGCTGTGGGCCAGGTGAGAACAGCATGCGCTTGCTGGCTCCCACGGTAGGTGGCGCTCTTGTGCTGCGAACCACTGGGCAGAAAGCCCTGAGACCTAATACGGAAGGCATCTCACATGGCCATAGAGTGTGTAGCTACCTCTGAGTACTGTCTGTTTCTCCATGCCTAGACATCTGTGACTGGTCCCAGAGGGTGACTGTATGTATCCCGTAGCAGAGTCGTCTGGGAAGCAGAACTCCAGAAGTCTGCAGACGTGCAGAGATGGAACCTGTCGAGCTGTAAATTCCCGTGTGGATGCTGGAGAGGCTCTAGGCTGGTTGTTTGCTAGTTTGCCTGATTAGCGGGGTCAATCACTGATAGCTAATGCTCGTGGTCAGGGAGGAAGAGTAGACTGCCCTGATGTTGTCCAGCCACGGAGTGGATGTTCATCCGAGTCTGCTCGCCGCAGTAATGCAGGCTCCGTGAGGGCAGCATCCTGGTTCGGTTCCCCTGTAGCCTTACCCGGCCGGCACACAGGAGACAGGCTGGTTCCAAAGTGCTGTACAGTACTTAGGATATTTGACCACGGAGGATATGTATGTCACTAAGGGACAAAAACATAAAAAAGTTAATAAGGGTAGAAGAATTCCTTCTGCGTGCTCTGAGGTAGAAACCAGACAGGGCCACTGTCAACCCATCCAGAAGGCTCCGTGTCTGAGGGGGGTGGCGAACAAGCATGTTACTTTATACACTTAGGTGTTTTCGTGTGTGAGCCTATGTGTGGGGGCATGCATGCCATGCAGCTCATGTGTGGAAGGCAGGGCAACCTGCCAGAATCTGTTCTCTCCACTCTATGGGTCCTGGAGCTGGAACTCAGGCCATCAGGCTCGGACGAGGGCCTCCCCCCGGAGCCACCTCCCTGGCCCCATTGCATCGGGTGTTTAGATCTCTCTCACTAGTGCTCTCTAAGTTAGTCAGGTAGGTAATTGTAATCAACATTGCAGTCATTTTACTTGGAATTTTCTTTTTTCCTTTTTGAGGACAGTTTCTCACGTAGCCCAGTCTGACCTTGAGCTTGCTGTGTAGAATAGCATGACTTGAGTTCCCGACCCGCCTCCCGAGGACTGGGATAATAGACTGTGTTACCGTGCCTGACCACTTGGTTTAGTCCCGTCTGTCTCACATGTCAGTGTTCCGATCCTAACGGTAAACTCGGGTCACTGTCCGACTGACCTCCGCAGTCAGGCAAGTGGGTCAGGAATAAATCATTCTTAACTGTGCTCATCCCTTCTCTTGGGGATTTTTGTTTGTTTTATTTTTCCAGATGGTCCTGGCTGTCTTGGAACTCAGAGATTTGTAAACCAGGCTGGCCTCAGACTCAGAGATCTGCCTGCCTCTGCCTCCTGAGTACTGATATTAAAGGTGTGCACCACCATGCCTGGCCTCTTGAGGAGTTTTGAATGGTTTGCCATTGCCTCACAAACTCTGAAGGCTAAAACTCCGTCAGCCTTGCCCTCAGCCGTTCCCCGGGCTGCTCCAAGCGGAAGTGTTGCCTCCGCCTTCCCTGGACTTTTCAGGAATTTGTTGTTTTTCTTCCTGGTTGCCATAGCAGTTGGTCCATGCCTCCAGGAAACACCTATCGCACGTGATGGCCAACTTGCCGATCTGGATCTCTGGCCTCTGTACCAGACTCTGCGTTCCTTGAGAAGCAGATTGTTCCAGACTGAGTGTGATGGTGTGCACCTGTAATCCCAGCCCTCAGAAGCAGCAGAATTGCTTTGAGTTTAAGGTCGACCTGGGCTGTGTAATGGCAACCAGGCCGTCCAGGGCCAAAATGGATCAAAGATCTAACTTTAGGAGCTAAAATTCTGAAATTCTTCAAAGAAAACATAGGGACAAATTTGATGAAAAAATACATAAAAATGGCTAATATAACACACGGGAAGAGTCTAATAGCCTTAGTAGGGAAATACAAATCAGAACCACACTGAGATTGACCCTCCTTCCTAGTGAGGATGGCTATAATTAAAAAGCAGGAAATAGAGGCTTGGAGAGCTGGCTCAGTGGGTAAGAGCACTGGCTGCTCTTCCGGAGGACCCTGGTTCAGTTCCCAGCAACCACATGGTGGTTTACAACTGGCTGTGACTCTAGTTCCAGAGGATCCAGTACCCTTTTCTGGCTTCCACAGGACCAGGCACTCACGTGTTTCACATCTGTGTGTTCAGGCAAAATCAGAGCCTTCCATTGCTGTTATGAGCATAAACAAAATGGTGGAGCTTTTGTGGAAAATGTGGATATTCTCCCCCCAAAAAAATTAAATATGCAAAAAAATGTGGGTATTCTCCCACCCTCCGCCCCCCCCCCCGCAAAATTAAGTATGCAATTATTATATGATGTAGCATGGCACTCCTGCATTATTTCCCCATCTCCCCAGCTGAAAAGAAGGACTAATATTTGTATCCTGGTGTACGTTACAGTGTTATTCATAGTAGATAAGAGGTGGAAATAGGCATCCAACAAATGAATGGATTTTAAAAAGTGTGCTATATCCATTCAGTGGAATTCTGTTCATCCATGAAAAGGAATGAAATGCTGATGTGTGCTTACTGTATGTTTGAACCTTGAAAATTTGCTAAATGAATGCAAAATTAAAAAAAAAAAACAAATTATTTACATGAAATATCTACAACAGGCAAATTCACAGCTTTAGAAAGTAAATTAGAAGTTATTAAGTCAGGTATGGTGGTACGTGCATGTAATCTCAGCACTTGGAAGACTAGGACTTCCAAGAGGATTGCCACAAGTTCAAGGCTGTCCTAGACTAAGGAATGAGTTTGACCAGCCTAGGCTAGAGGGTGAGACTCTGGCTTTGGGGAGAAGAAAACAACAAAATAGAACTTGCCCGTGGCTAGGGTTGTGGGTGCTGTGATTCACAGAGCTTTGGTTATAGATAAAAAAGATGTGGGAATAAGTAGCTGTTGTGGTTGTACATCATTGTGACTGTAATTGATGCTGCCGACCTGTGTGTTTAAAAATGGTTACTATTAGGGAGCGGAGAGATGGCCCAGGGGTGAAGAACACCCACTGTGTAATCAGGAGACCGATCGGGATCCTAGCCTTTAGGTAACAAGCTGGGAATCCTAGGCTTACCTGTAACCCCAACTCTGAGAGAGCCATAGACAGGAGGACTGCTGGGATTTGGTGACTTCCAGCCTAGCTGAGAAAATCTGATCCCTGTGTCCAGGAAAACCTCAAAAGAATAGGCAGTGTGGTGGAGGGGGACACCTGATACCGTCTTCCAGCTTTTACGCTTGGGCACAAGCTCACATACCTATGCATACATGGACACACATACACTTAAAAAAATGTAAAATGGTAATTTTATGTTAGATATTCCTGTAATGGGGGGAGGGAGAGAAAGCTGGGTTAAGTGCTCTTAGCTTCTTTTCAATAATTGGAAATAAAGAGAAAAGCCAGGGGGTTGGGCATTTAGCTCAGTGGTAGAGCGCTTGCCTAACAAGCATAAGGTCCTGGGTTCAATCCTCAGCTCCGAAAAAGAAGAGAGAGAGAGAGAGAGAGAGAGAGAGAGAGAGAGAGAGAGAGAGAGAGAGAGAGAGAGAGAAAAGCCAGGCGTGATGGTGTGCGCCTTTAATCTCAGCACTTGGGAGGCAGAGGCAGGTGGATCTCTTTGAGGCCTGCCTGGCCCATACAGTGAGGACAGCCATGCTACACAGAGAAACCCTTTCTCGAAAAACCAAAGCAAACAAAAGAAGTGAGGGAAGAGTTATATTGTGGAAGGTTGGTAACGTAGTAACCCGGTGAACAGATCGCGTGGTTGAGAAGGAAGCAGGGCATTTGAGGTCGCTCTCATTGACTTATCAGCTGCCAGCTGCTGAGGCCTACCCAGCAAGACTGTGCCTCAGAAACACTGAACAAGAGAGACAGAAAGCGAAGTGCAGCCTGGGGAGCTGGCTTGTTCTTAAAGCATCAGCTCTAGGACCTTCCACCAGGAGATGAGGAGGGAGCAGGAGGCACCGAGGATGCTCTTCTTCCTCTGAAGAGCAAACCTCTGGCGTACAGCCCCTTCCGCAGTTCTGTACAAAATGAGCCGGTGATAAAATGCACACGGAACCAGGGCGGCAGGCCAATCCCGTAGACATTACCAGCACTCAGACTGACAGCGTGAGTTCCAGGCCGGCCTGGGCATGGTGAGACCCTGTCTCAAAATGGGAATATGTCTGTGGAAGAGCTTTGTAAACGACAAGATGTTATTGAAACCCCAGCTCCTGGTTTTCCAAAGTAGTCCTGTCTAATCTCCTTTTCAACTACTTTATCTCATTGATTTCTATTTTATGTGTATGAGTGTTTTGCCTTCATGAGTGTGTGTGGTTATCTGGTGCCTGCAGAGGCCAGAAGAGGGCCTGGGTTCTCCTGAGTGACAGGTGATTATGATTAAGAGTAGCCAGCGCTGCTAACCATGGGGCCGACTGACTCAGCAAGCTCCTGACCCCCGTTTTCTTGAGGCAGTCTTACATAGCCCAGGCTGTTCTCAAAGTGGCTATGTGGTAGAGGATGACCTTGAACTTTTGACCCACCTTCTAAGCGATGGATCACAGCCATGCCCTACCATGTTCAGTTATGTGTTGCTGGGGGTCAAACCCAGGGCGTTGTGAACGTTAGCTAAACACTATCAAATAGAGCCATGTCCCCAGCCCTCATCTGGTTAATTTATAGAGAATTCTATCATAATTTCCTTTTCTCTTTTTTAGTATCTGGTGTCTTTGATTCAAGACAACCTAGGATGGATGTGGGTTTTCTACTTTTTCATTCTCATGGTAAGCGTGTGCTTTTCTTTAACCATTTTTCCTGTTTAGGTTAGAACATTTGATTTCATCACTACTTGAAACCAACAAAATTGCTGATTCCTTTTAAAGACTTTAGGGTGAAAAGTAGCATTTGATTAGGCTGGGAAGACTCATTTCTTTTCTCAAGGAGCCCAAAGGCCCTGAGTTTGCCTGTCCGGACCTGAGACTAATGAGTGTTGCCATTTACAATTGCAGAGAAGCAAGAGGCTTACTCATACCTCGCCAGCCATTAATCAGTGTGCTCCTCTGGGCTGCTGACTGGCTGCTAAACAGGGCTGGAGAATTCTGCGGCAAGGCACCAGTGTTACAGAGAAGGGAGCTCTAATTAACACCGTCCGCAGGGGCAGGTGTTCAGCTCCAGAGTCTTGGCTGACATGTTGGGCTTTCTGAGAAACAGCCAGAAAGGCCCTGCTTCTAAGATACTGCTTTCTGTTGAGAAGGCCTGTGACATATTCTGTTGTATTGTTGAGGGCACAGTGCTCATGTCAGGTCAGCTTGAACTCGTCTGCGGATGACTTAGCCTTGAAACCAGGCATCCTAATTGGCCACTGTCACCTGACTCTAAGCAGCTGTCCTCCGGCCTGTCCCAAGGAGGAACAGGATAGGTCAACACGAGCAAGTCTCTAGGCTCTCTTCTCCAGCTTCTAATGACTCAGAAGGCAGAGGCAGGAAGATTATGAGTTGAGGGCCAGCCTGGAAGACTTTGTCTTTAAAGAAAAAGTACATTTGCTTCCAGGATCCATTTGTGGGCTAGAGCTGCAGCGTGCTGGAAGGCCCAGAGTTCAGTCCTCAGCCCCGCAAAATGAACGAAAAGGGGATGGCTCAGTGAAAGTCCAGGCTGCTGCGCAAGCCCTTTAACCAAGTTCGATACCCAGAATCTCCATAAAAAGCCAGATATGGTGCACCTCTGGGACCCCAGAACTCCTCCTGCGAGAAGGAAGGCAGAAACAGGAAGATCATCCACCAGCTTGCAGGCCAGCCAAGCTGTAGCAGTAGCACGGTAGCAGAGATGTGAGCGCCTACCTCAGCATGGTGGAAGGCTCGGAGCCAACTGCTCCGAGATGTCCTCTGATCCCCACACACGTGCTGTGGTGTCTGCGCACACACACACACACACACACCTGCACACATGTGGGTGCTCGTGCTCTCCCACCACTAAGTAGTACATTACAAAACAAATAAGAAGCCTCATAAAGACCTGCTAACTAGAAGGAAGTACCTGCTGATGTGAGACTACCAGAACTATTGAAGTGAAAACCCAGATCTGCCATAAGGAACCCGACGTTTGCCAGGTGTGGGGACGCACACCTTTAATCCCAACCCTTTAATCCCAACACTCAGGAGGCAGAGGCAGGGGAAGCTCTGTGATTTTGAGGCCAGCCTGGTCTACAGAGTGAGTTCCAGAATAACCATGGCTGTTATATAGAGAACCCTGTCTCAAAAAAATAAAAAAAAAGAAAGGCGAAGCCCAACTTTCTTCTGGGCTCTAGTAACTTGTTTTGCCCATGGTAGTGGCATACTTCAGTTATTTATTTATTTATTTTTGACAGCTGATGTGACATTGTGTGTTTGTGGTTTTAACTCTAATTTTCAAAAGTTGTTTTCTAATTCACCGAAGACAGACAGCTTTCTTTCTGTGATGTCAGAATGTGTTTGCTCAAATCCATCACTAACGTTCAAATCATGATGCTCTACCAAAAGTAAGTTGTTGATCATTTCAAAAACGTTTTTCTCTCCACAGACAAGTTGTACAATTCTGTTTATCTCACCGTTAATAGTGAGGGAAGTGTTCGCTCTTGTGCGAAGGAGACAAGCTCACATACTGAGTGAGTGAGTGGTGCCCACGAGAGAACGGACTGGGACACTCACGGGGGCCTGCAGGCCTTCAGTTCCAGCGTGTGGCGTCCTCCCAGCCCCGACGGAACCTCAGCTCATCAGGCGTCCTGCAACACTGCCCACTGCCCGCGACACTGTCGAATTATTTTTGTACACTACAGCAGTTAGGGACGTTTTTTATTATATTTGTGAATGTACCAAAAGGAACCTGCCAACCTCTTCATCGGGCTTGTCAGCTTATCCCGTTAACCGGACATGTTTTGGTCCTGGGCCCTTGTTCGTCAGCCTTAATTAAGGGCTCAGTGAACAGGAGGCAGAGTCATGCAAGTTGGTTTGAGGAGAAGACCGCCGGGTGATACTCTGAAAGCCAGTGTGCAGAGAGGGCGTCACCATGAAGACATGAATTAGAACTCAGGCCAGATGAAGCTGCGGCCCCGCCTTGGACAGAATGTACCTTTACCGAGGCTGGAAGATGATGGCACTGTGCTTGTGGCTGGGTCACTCTGTGGCTTCTGGAAGTCCTCATCCTCTCCAGAATGGTTGTCAGCTTGTTCTCCGACTTCACTGACATTTGAGTGACTCCTAGGAGCAGTCTTCTGTTCATGAACTGTAAGTTATCTCGAACATTCCAGTGTGGAGCTTTCAACCTCAGATTTACAGTCTGGGAACGTTAAGACTCTCCGAGAAGCCTTGCTATGTAGCCTTATTCTTGGAAAATTGGTCTCTGTCACGGCTGGGTTCCTGGAGTTACCTCAGAAGAAGACTAGGATTGTCTCTACAAGCAAAGACTCTTTGTTGCAAGGCTGTGCAATGTATGTATTGAATCATGTTAGTGGATTGTAAGGGCCTGAGGCCTGACCTTTTTAGAAGGTGGTAGTGTGTATGTCTTCCAGACTGAATTTTATATGAATCAATACTTTAAGGTCATTCTGTACATACATTTTAAATTATGTAAACAAACTAGGAGGAAAATGTGCAATTTTGAGGGACACCCAATTCACATTGGGTTAGGGAATGTTCTTGCGTTACACTCCAAAATACGCGTTGACAGACTTGTTATTTAATCTGGAGGACTTCTGATCACTTTACGATTGAGTCACTGACATAAAGGGAAAACACAAAACATAGGAAGGGAGGGGAGAAAACCAGCTTTTGTAATAAATGTCCAGCAGTTTGGTTATTTAATCTCTGCCCAAGCTCTGCATTGCCTCTCGTTTTTCCTTTCCGTGGTACTGGGCTGGAGCGTGCCCTGCACACGCCCAGTGTGTGTCTCTGTGGCTGCACTGTGCTCCCAGCCCAGCTCTACACCTAAGTACGGCGGGTGCCTTTGGCTGCCCAGCGTTACTTGTCACTGGCCAGCAGACACTTAGCCCACAGCCTTGCCAGGGTACTGCCAGGCCTCATTGCCGTGAGGTGCTGGGAAAACCCGCCCTCCCCCTCTGCAGCAGGCTGCTCGGTGTGGTGCCTGCAGATGAATGCTGTTGTTACTACTGACCCTCCTCTTCAGCAGGGTCGTCTTCCTGTTCTCACACCAGCCGGTGCCTTCTTTTCCAGCTTGTTTCCTCTGCCTGAGCACCCCCTTGACTTCCCTGTGCTTCTCCAGGCTCTTTCTGAAACGGAGTTATAAACACTCAGAGCTGCATGAAATGATGTTTTACTCCCTTGGTCTACTTCTGCCAACCTGTGAAGGAAGTAACTGTAACAAATGCTTAGGAGTTCACCTTACTTTGTTTCTCTGGAAGAAAAGGTCAGGGGCTAGGGAGCTGGCCGAGTAACATGCTTGCTGTAAAAGTTGAACAGCTGAGTTTGGATCCCCAGCACCCACATGAAGAGCTGGGGTAGCGACATGTGCCTGTAATCATCCCAGCCTCTGGAGGTGGAGACAGATCTAGCTGAATTAGTGAGCTCAGGTTCAGGGAGAGAACTTTGTCTCAGAAGAGCGCCAAGGCTGGAGAGATGGTTTGGCGGATTAGAGGATGCTGGTGGCTCTTCCCGAGGACCCAGGTTCAGTTCCCAGAACCCACGTGACAGCTCGCAACCATCTGTCTTAACTCCAGTCTCAAGGGATGTGTGGTCATCTTCTGGCCTCCACAGGCACTGCGTGCCCATGTTGCACTTAAATACCTGTAGGCAAAACACACATACACATAAATAACAAAGCTTAAGAAAGGCGGGGGAGGTTGACAGAGGAAGACAGTGCTGACCCCTGGCCTCCATGCGCGTGTGCACCCACACACCTCTGCTCACATACTAACATCAAAAGTGGGGGGAAAGGCCACGGTGAAAGCTGGTCTGGAAATGGATCTTCTGTCAGTTAAAAAATAATTCGGAAAAAAAAATTGTAAGAGGCTTTTATATAGTAAGATAAAGAATTATTGGATGGGAAACATTTTGCCCTTCAAGTGTGTCACGTTCTGGAATTTAAAAATAGTACTTACATATTCCTTAAGTAAGAACTTAGGAAAAGAAAGAAAATGCCTTCCTGACAGCTAGGTGGAAGGATGAGAGTGTGGCAATCTGTTTCCACGGTGCTGCGCCGGTGCCCAGGGCCTCTGTGCTGGCTACACGGGTGCTCTTCCACTGAGCTGCACCTCTCGCCCAGGGTGCTTCCTGGTTACCCCGGTGGTCTTGGAATGAGCTGTGATCCTTCCTCCTCTGCCTCCCGAGTGCTGGAATGACACAGGAACCACCACGCCTGGCTACAGAGGCCTTCACTTGTGCGGACTAGTTTTTCTGACTAACTTCCTGTTTTCCTTTCCTGTTGCCTTCCTGGCTCTACCACCAACTTCCTCCTTAACTACTGAGCTGGGTAACTAGGCAGGATGCTTGCCAGGGCTGCCCTGCTCTGCACCTGCCATTCAGCTGTACTCATCAATGACGTCATCAGTGACGCCTCCTCTTACCACCCACGTGGACAGCAAGCATGTGGGCTCACTGGGAGCCTCCTGCCTTAATTCCTTCGGGTTTTAAAGCCCTTCCCTTGTATTTGACTCTGGTCAATCTTTTCCCAGGACTTTGTTTGCTTGTTTGTTTTTGGTTTTTTTTGAGACAGGATTTCTCTGTGTAGCTTTGGTGCCTGTCCTGGATCTCACTGTGTAGCCCAGGCTGGCCTTGAACTCACAGAGATCCACCTGGCTCTGCCTCCCTAGTGCTGGGATTAAAGGCGTGAGCCACCACCACCCAGCAACTTTTTTTTTTTTAGCCCCTTTCTTATCTTTGACTTCTAGAGCATTTTAATTTCTTTTTAATTTTTGGGTTTATATGTGTATATGTTTGTTCATATGTTTGGTGACTGTGTCTTCTAGGTTCATGTGTGTGTATGCATCTCTGTGTGTGTGTGTGTGTGTGTGTGTGTGTGTGTGTGTTTATGTGTATGGGTATGTGGAGGCCAGAGGCTAACGTTTTCCTTGATCACACTCCCATCCTATTTATTTAAATTGATTTTTTATTTTATGAATATGGGTGTCTTGCCTGCATGTATGTGCATCATATATTTGTAGTGTCCTTGGGAGCCAGACGAGCCCAGAAGTCTAGAACTGGAGTTGCAGACAGTGGGGAGCTGCCATGTGGGTTCTAGGACTCGAACCCAGAGCAGCCAGTGTGTTTTACTGAGCCATCTTTCCAGCCCTACCCATCTTACACTGGCTCTTCAGGCCTTTTTCCTGTCCCCACATAGGCCAATCTGGCAACTGCTTGCATTAATTGGTTTGTCTGGTTTTGGTTTTATGAGATAGGATCTCTTTGTGTAGCTGTGGCTGTCCTGGAATTTCGTTAGACCAAGTTGGCCTTGAACAGAGAGCCGCCTGCCTCTGCCTCCCAAGTGCTGAGATTCAAGGCAAGCACCACCTCTGCTTGGCACATTGTTTTCAGTGTGTAGGGCATAAATCTCTATGGGAATATGAAAGACATCTATTCTCTTTAGAACAAAATGCATGTTTTTTTTTTAAATATGTGTGTGTGTGTAGGTAGGTATGAGTGTTCTGTCTGCCTGCAGGTAAGAAGAGGGCAATCAGATCTCAGTATAGATGGTTGTGAGCCACCATATGGTTGCTGGGAATTGAACTCAGGTCCTCTGGAAGAGCAGACAGTGCTCTTAACTACTGAGCCATCTCTCCAACCCCAAAATGCATGTAAAACAAACAAACTATAAAAGCGTGCGTGTGCACGCGCGCGCGCGCGCGCGCGCACACACACACGTACACACACACACACACACACACACCGTTTTGTTGCAGCATCTTCTTGCAGGCTCATCCGTAGGACTTGGCACACTTTAAACCCCGGTAAGAAGACTGAGCCTCTTGTTGAGGTCTCACCCCGTTCACCGAATCTCTCCGAGAGTCCCCTATAGAGCTGCCGCGCACACTCGTCCCTTCTTGTCCTAATCTGTTCTTCCCTCAAATGCCTCTCTCACTCTCAGCGTCCTCAATCTTCGCTTTCCTTCAAGCTCATCCAGCTCCATTTAGTCCAAGAACCCTGTGCGAGCCTCCCCCACCTTGGCTGCTTCCTCAGGCAAACCCACCTTCCTTGTATACTTGGTGTGTGAGGCTCTTGGGATATATCATGTCCCTTTTCCTCCAAGGCGAGACCCTGGTGTGCTTGGTGCTAGGTAACGCTGCTCAGGTTGGAAAAGTTGGAAGGGAAATGAGAGTGGAGGGCGGGCAGAGCAGGCCATGGCTCCTGTACTTGCAGACTGGCCCTGCACTGCTCACAATAGCTCTGCGGCCATAGCCGCCTACACCATCAGGTTGTGTGGCTTTACACTGCTGTCCTCCTCAGCTCTCAGGGATGACATTACTCAGCAGCAGGGAGACAGTTTTGGGCTGCAGTGGTGCTCAGGCAGCCTCTTCGGTACCTGTTATTCTCTGGGCTGCCTCTTCTCTCCAGCCTCTCAGGCTTCCTCCCTCTCTTCTGCCTTCCGGTCACTCCTGCTGGAGCCTTCCAAAGCCCTTATCTTAGGCACAGTCTGGCAGGCCTGCTGTATCCTGATTGTACGCCTGATTGTATCCTCTGGTTGCTTCTTGTCATTTCCTCAATTCAACAGTGAGTGTGGCCACACGTCCAAGGACAGGGCAGCTGTCTAGCAGGTTCTCTGACTTCCTGATTCACCTTTCCACACCACCTCTTTGGAACTTTTAGATACTATCTTAGTTATCTCCTACCCCGCCCTCTACTGCCTGGAGCATTTCTAGCGAGATTGCTTGTTTTAGCATGTATCTTAAATCAGATTAAATGTGAAATACTAGTGTTAGTGTAGAATAGATGGGACAAAGCTCTTAGCTGGGAATAGATGTACTAATTATACATAGCATTTATTTTTAGTTATATGTTACTAATGGCATTTTAGAAGCAAGAACCTCTACAGAGGTTGTTCCAGGGAATCCAGTGTTCTCTTCTGTCCTCCATGGGCATCAGGCACACACCTGGGGCACAGACATATCTGTAAGTTGTGTTGGTTGGTTTTTGTCAACTTGACACAAACCTACACATCTGGGAAGATGGAATCTTAATTGAGAAAATGCCTCCATCAGATTGCCCATACATATAATATGGGCAATATATACATATACATATGTATGTATTATGTATATGGACAGTCTGATGGAGGCATTGTCTCAATTAAGATTGCCCATATATATATATATATTACATATACGGACAAGCTGATGGAGGCAGATATATATGGGCAGGTGGTCCTAGATTATAGAAGAAAGTAGTCTGAGCCGACCAGTAAGCTGCTCTCTTCCATGGTCTCTGCTTGGTTCTGCCCTGACTTCCCTTTATGATGGACTATGACTGGGACATGGAGGTTAAATAAACGCTTTCAGTCATGGCATTTTATCATAACAATATTTTAACCTATAATATACATAGAGAATTTTTGTTTTTTTATTGCTGCCCCATTTTACCGTTGAGTCTGCACCGCAGGCTTTGTGGTTCAGAGGCTTGCAGTTGAGAACCCAGAGAAGATGCCTGTGCTGTCTAGGGTTGCAGAGCGATACGAGAGAACCAAACTCAGTGTTTTCCATCTTCCACGTGGCCTGGCCTTCCCTCCAGCTGACTCTTGTCCTAGGCTCCCTTCCAAAGGGTGGTTGTGGAGTTCACTCATCTTTCCCCAGGCCACAGTCTCTAGCAGAACCAACAATTGTAAGGCTTTTTGTGAAAACTCCCTGCAGCCCGGCCAC